AGTAAGAGGAATGTTAAAACAAACAAACAAACATACATGGAACTAAAAGCAGAAATCAATAATATAGTAGAAAAAAGTATTCAATAGATAAGAACCAATGAAACTAAAAGCTAGTTTTTTGAGAGGATAAAAAAAATGAAAACCTCTAATCAGATGGATTAGAAAAAAGAAAGAAAAGATACACATTACCTATTACGCACAAAAGAGAGGCCCTCTATCTCTACATATGAAACAAATAATAAAGGAATATTATGAATAATCATGTTAATAAATTCAACAACTTAGATGAAATGCAAAACTTTCTTAAAAGACATACTACCAAAGATGAAAACTTTTGAGAAGGAAAACTCAAAAAACTCTAATTCTATTAAAGAAACTGAATTCTTTTTTTTTTTTTGAGTTGGAGTCTCACTCTGTCGCCCAGACTGGAGTGCAGTGGCTGCTCCCGGCCACCGCAGCCTCGACCTGCTGGGCTCCGGCAATCCTTCCACCTCAGCCTTCCAAGTAGCTGGAACTACAGGTACATGCTACCTAATTTTTTGATTTATTGTAGAGATGAGGTCTCGCCTTGCCCAGCTAATTTTTTGATTTATTGTAGAGATGAGGTCTCACCTGCCTAAGCGGGTCTCGAACCCGCGGGTTCAGGCAATCCACTCACCTCAGCCTCCCAAAGGCGCGGGATTAGAGGCTGAGCCACTGAACCCGGCAGAAACTGAATTCTTAACTTAAAAAAACAATTCCACAAAAACAATTGCAGTCTGTGAAATAATAAAAAAAATATATATATTAGTCTCTGGCTCTGGTTCCTGACATAGAAATCCTAAAATCCTTATAGAGGAAAGAACTAAGAGAGTTTTTGTTCTAATATTTGTTCTTTAACTCCAGTCCCAGACCCAGAGTTCCTAAGACCTTTATAATTTCCTGACTGATAGGAACAACTGATACAGAGCTCCTAAATCCCCTCAGATTTCCTGGGTGATAGGAACACATTTTATTCTAAGGAAGGGACTCTTAGTACGCTCCTGGATAGCCTTAGGTTGGGATCTGGTTATCAGAGGAACCAACTATGTGATTAGAGGGTTGAAATTTTCAGTCTCACCTCCCTGACCTCTGGGGACGGGAAAGGGGCTGAAGGTTGAGTTGATCTTATGCCTACATAATTATCCATAGCATTTGTAGAAGCATACAGATTACTGAACACATATAAGAAGGTGCCTGGAGGGTGATACACCTCTTCCCACATGCCCTATGCATCTCTTCTACCCGACTGTTCATAATATCCTTTATATTGAATGGGTAAACATAAACAAAGTGTTTCTCTGAGTTCTATGAGCTACTCTAGCAAATTAATTGAACCCTAGAGGGGGTCTTGGGAGCTCCCAATTTATAGCTGATCAGCCAGAAGTATAGGTGACAACCTACTACTTGTGACTGGTGTCTGAAGTGGGGGCATCTTGTTGAATGAGCTTTCAACCTGTGAAGTCTGACGCCTTCTCTAGGTGGATAGTGTTAGAATGGAATTGAATTGAATTACAGGACATCCAGCTGGTATCTGCTGAAGTATTGCTTGGTATGTAGGAAAAAACTGCCACACAGATGGTGTGTGAGAGTAGAGAGATAACACAGTTCATTTTTTTTCAGTTAGGCCTAGATTTCTATCAAACATTTAAGGAAAAATATTACCAGTTCTACACAAAATGTGTAGAAAGATGAGGAATATTTTTCCACTTATTCTATGAGGCCAGCATTACTATAATATCAAAACTAAAGACATCACAAGAAAACTACAGACTAATATATTTCATGAACAGAGACACAAAAATCCTTAACAAAACATGAGCAAATTGAATCCAGCAATGTATAAAAAGAATAATAACATCAAAACCAAATGAAGTTTATCCTACAAATGAAAGGTTGGCCTAACATTCAACAATCAATTAATGAGAAAAAAAATCAATCAATGTAACTCAGTATATCAATAGACTTAAAAAGAAAAGCCATATGATCATATCAAAAAATGCAGAAAAAGTATTTGACAAAATTCCACATCTACTAATGATAAAAACTCTCTATCAATTAGGAATAGAAGAGAACTTTCTCTACTTGAAAAAAGGTATTTATAAAAAACCTACAGCTAACACCATAATGGCAAAATATTAAATGGTTTCCTTGCAGGACTGGGAATAAGACAAATCTGTTAGTTCTCACCTCTCCTATTCAATACTATACTGAAGAGTGTAGACAGTGCAGCACGGCAAGAAAAAGGGGCATCCAGCTTAAAATGAGGAGATTCTTCAACAAAGAGCTCTGGGACAATCAAACATTCACATCCAAAAAAGTGAACCTCAATTCTTATCTTTTACAATACACAAAAAATTAACTCAAGATGAGTCATAGACCAAAATGTAAGCACTAAACCTATAAAAATTCTATAAGAAAAACCTTTTGAATTTGGATTGGGAAAAGTTTTCTTAGATATAACATCAAAAGCACCACTCATAAAAGAAAAAAAAAGATAAATTATACTTTACCAAGATTAAAAACTTCTGCTCTGTGAAAGATATGACAAGAGAGGAAAAATTTGCAAATTACTTATCTAATAAAGGTTTCTATCCAGAAGTTTAGATAACTCTTCAATAAGAAGACAAACAACGAATTAACAAATGGCAAGATGGAACAGACGGCTCTGTAAAGATTAAAGAATGGTAAATAAGCAAGTGAAAAGACACTTAACATTGTCATGGTAAAATAGAAATTAAAACCACAGTGAGATTTCACCATAGAATGGTTAAAATAAAAAAGACGGATAGCAAAGATACAGAGCAACTGAAACTCTCATACATTGCTGGTGGGAAAGCAAAATAGTTCAATCACTTTGGAAAACAGTTTGGCAGTTTCTTCAAAGTTAAACATATATTTACCCTAGGACTGAGACATTCCATTCCTAGGTATTTATGCAAGTAAAATGAACACATATGCTCACACAAAGATCTGTACATATGTTTATAGTGGCTTTATTAATAATTGCCAACAACTGGAATTAACTCATATGTCTTTTGACCTTTGAGTCGATAATCAGGCTGTGTTATGTCCATACAATGGAATACTACTCAGCAATACAAAGGAATGAACATTTGATGCACACAACACATGTATGAATCACAAATGCATTATACTAAATGAAAGAAGTAGACTCTGAAGGCTACATTTATATGACATTCTGGAAACACTACAAGGACAGAAAACAGTGGTTACCAGGAGCTGAGGGTAGGGGGAGGGGTTAATTACAAGAGAGCATGAAGAACCTCTTTGGGGTTAATGGAAGTGCACTATGGACTGCTGTGGTGGTTACACAAAGTATGCATTTGGCAAAACTCATAAAACTATACTAAAAGGTAAATTTTATTGTATGGAAATTAAACTTCAATAAACCTTACTTAAAAAAATTATGATATAGCCAGGCAGTATACCCTCTTTGGGGTTCCCTCCTGTTGGGGGAGCTTTTCTGTCTTCATAATAAATTCCTACTTTCTCACAAAAAAAATTTATGAAATAGCCATATAATTGTATATTATGCAATCATTTGAGATGGATCCATATATGCAGCTGGTAGGATAATCTCTAACATATACTGTTAGAAGTAAAAAGCAAAATACAGAGCAATAAATACAGTATGCTCCCATTTATAGTAATATTGGCTATCTCTGGGGAAAGAGTCCGGAGTGGCAGTACCCTTTTGTACTGTTTGAGTTGTTTTTAAAAAACCACATGCCTGTATTATTTTCAATTGAAAAAGTAAAGGAAACCTGTATACAGGTCAAAGAAAACTCACAGATGTCTGGGTCAGGGGACTGAATCATGTAGGCTTGTGAAAACATGTGTAAGAATATAGAACACAGAGCCAGCCACAGACAGAGTCACCCAATAAATAGCTGGAGGAAGCAAAATATTTGGAATCAATTCAGAAGGCAGACCCTGGACAAAGAGATCTCTATCTGAGCACCAGATACTCAGCCAGCACAGCCCCTGCTTTATACAAGGAGCTGAGACTGCTCACGTTCGAAAAGAAAGGGAGCATAAAACCAAATGTCCTGGATTTACTGTGGGGTCAGCTGTTTCTCAGCATTCCTTTACAAGCACATTGTGCACCTTAACCTCAGCCTTCTAAGGGAAGGAAGGCAAGTTCTTCTCCCAGTGAGCAGAGCCCACCCCTAGAGGCCACCTCAGGAATCCTCTGGTGGTCCAACTATTATGCCCTATGCCCAGAAGGTCCTGAGCAGTCTTTCCTGTAGCCCCTCTGAGTCAGAAGTGCCTCTCACTTTCTAAAGTAACAAAAATGACCCCGACAGTCTCACTATCTTATACTCCAAGACAAGACAATTTCAGCACTTTAGTCCCCTCTCAACACCAAGGCGTCAGGAAAGAAATTCAAAAAGGAGAAGGTGGAAACATAAGCAAGACCTCTTAGCAACATGTGGTAAAAGGAACTCCCTGGGTAAGGCACAGATTCTTTCAGCAAGCCTGATGCTAAGGAAGTCAGGAGCCCCAGAATGCAAAATGGACAGAGAAGAAAGGTACTAAAACTCTGACAGCCTCAGAAATTTCTCTTTGTTCCTTGCTTTATTTGGCCATGCCTCCCTGGAGCCAGCTAGTTGGTCCCAGCTCCCAAAAAACTTGTTTGGCCACCGATACTAGGACTAGGAGCTTCTCTACTTGGCTGCCTATATACCTGGCTTCCATAGGCAACCACGTAGCTTCTCTCTGCAGAAACAAGTTATGCTGCCAGGTGCAAGCTCCAAGAGGCAGGATGGGGGTAAGGTGTAGGAAGGGCATGCAGGGGAACTGGGGTAGGAACCAATTGAAAGCAGAGTCCTTTCCAGACACCCACAGATTCCAGGACACAGGAGAAGGAGAACAGGACTCGCTGTGAGAGTCAGGGTTTCTGACTCCTGGACCATGACCAGGCTATTGAGGTAGTGGAAGGAAACAGGAGCACTTACCGGGGGAAGATGGCCGTCATCAAGGCTGAAGCATAGCCAGGCTTGCAGGCTCCCTCTGAAAAGTTTGCATACTTGGTGGCTAACTCAGCAGGCCTATGGGAAGAGAAGGAAAGTCACAGCTTGCCAGGCACTGAGCAGCGAGTTATCAATTAACGAAAAGCTGTAGATGTTTAAACCTTCAATAAAGCTCCATTCCCTACAATCAGCACTTCAGGCCATTTTCCACACCAAGGCTTCAAGGGTAAAACAAAAACACACAAACCCTAAAACCATTAAAGAAATAGGTAGATAAATAAGCCAGGCCCCTCAGTGGAATTTGTCAAAGAAATTTACTCAGTTTCACACAGATCCTGTGCAGGAAGCGTGATACCAAGGAGGTCAGGAGCTCCATCCAGGTCCCAAGACTGGGGAGTGGTGCTGGGAGCGCCACAGGATAGAGCTACTCAGGCTTCAATAGTCAGAAGCACTGCCCTTCTACCTTTCTGGCATGTTCCTACATGTCCAGCCTTGTCTGCTTTTACTCTATCCGCACACAGTAGGATCCACCCAGTGGGAACCATTCACAGTGACCAAATATAGGCACAACATGTGTATTAATGGGGCTATTGAGGTACCTATTCAACTTTTATTTGAGGATGCTCGCCTTCTCTCTCTGCCCAGAAGGTCATTCCTTATCCTCCACATGACTAACGCCTTCCGGTCCTTCACAACTAAGCTCAGATGTCAACTTCACTGGGAGTGATTTCCGGACCCCTAGATGGACTGAGCGCCTCCTCTGTGTTGTACAGTCCCTCTCCCTGCTACCCACATCACACACTTACCCCATCAATACTTGTCATTCTGTATTGTTACTTGGGTAGTACATCTCCCTCATCACACTGTAAATCCCTGAGGTTGGTCTGATTTAACCTGCTCACCCTCCCAGTACCTTGCATAGAGATGGGCACACAGAAGACCCCTATAACTTTCTGAAGGAACAAAATGACCCTGACAGTCTCACTGCAGACAAGGTCATCTCAGGAATCCACAAACTAGAGATTATTAAATATTTTTTTTTTTTGGAGATGTGTGTTCTAACCCTGGCTTTGTTGCTGTGTGACTACAATCATGCCATCTCACATCTTTGGATTTTAATGTTATTAATGTGCTCAGTGTGGACCTGGAGTCACTGCCCTGCCACCAAAAATTCTGCCCTATGCAGTCTAGGGATAATCGTGATGGAAGAACAGGATGTATTCAGTGAATGGGCTCAATGATTGCCAGGGCTAGAGGCCCTGCACGCTGGGGCACCTGAGCATGCCCTGGCTGGCTGCCAGTTCTGGGTCCCAGCCTCCTCCACCCCCACCCTTTGGCCTGCTGCCAACACTCTGGTGCCCAGCTGCTCTACTGTGCTGGGGCCCTGTGGCAAGTCTGCCCTCAGGGCTGCCTTCTGCAGGGACTGGGTGGGGTGGGTGTGGGGTAAGAGATGCCAGAAATGATGATGCCACTGCCTAGAGTGTGTCATGTCTGATTCACCCCTGGACCCCTCTGGCCTAGTCCCAGACCTTACACAGAGTAATTGCTTGCTGAATGTAGACAAGCTCATCTGTATCCACAAGCAATGTATTTTAGAAATCTACATTTTAAAGCCTTCCCTACTGATGAAATTCAAAGCTTGAAATGCAAATCAAAAGAACTGAGTGACAAGTCAAACAGTTGGGACTTTATTTGGTAGGCAAAAGAAAGTCAAAGTTTTAACAAGAGAAAAAGAATATTTTCTTATGTAAACAACTGTATTTTAGAAAGGAAATATAAATTATTGAACTTACTGAAGCTTTTGGACTAGGCACAATGATTAAAACTTTTTAGATTTTTTTTGTAATTCCTCTTAACAACACTATGAGTAGGTGCTATGAATTTACACACGAGGTTCAGAAAGATGAAGAGCCTTAGCTAAGATCCTACAGCTGGCAAGTGTAGACAATGGATTTGAACCTACTTTTCTCTAACCCAGCGCAGGGGTAGCTCTAAGTGGACACTGCTACCAACATCATCACAGAGGAAAGCACAGGACAGCACAGGAGTGGAGGAGAGGGTCCAAAAGTCCTCACACAGCTCCTGCTATAAGTGTTTTGAGTCCCTTCAAGTGCTCTTAATTCCTAATCCACCATTTGCTTGCCCGCCTTTGTACTATGGGTTCCTGTGATCTTTTTCAGAATTCTAGAAAGTTTCACAAACAATTTGAAAGATGGATGGCAGTTGCCCTTAATGCAGTGCGTGGCAGAAATAAATGCACAACACAGACAACCTTTTTTTTTTGGCCACATCTTTCCTGTCTCTAGTTCACCCCACCAAACTTTTGGCAAGATGCTTGGAGAACAAGGACTGTGGGACAGTCCAAGATCCATGGGCTCAGGTCATCCATAATAGAGAGGAGGGACTAGCAGGGAAGGCAGGAGACACTGCTCTCTCCGTGGCAGTGCAAAGACATCAAATATCAAAGACGATGGACTCTATATCAACCCTTTACAAAGCGACAGTCACTCCTAAAAGACACAACTCCGGGTACAGTGGGCCATGTCAAGTTATTACCAAATTAAAATGCCTTAGAAATGGCCTCCTCACTATCCCAGTGAGAGAAGAATAGGGGGAGTGTTGGGGACTCTGAGTCATACAGCAGGCTGGGACCCTGGGGCAGTTAGCGGTCAAAACCACCAAGATTAACTGTCGCCAACTCCCTGGGGCCAGAATAGTTAGTCTCTCTAAGGCACTCACACTGCAAATGCCAGGAGGCCCCACAGATGTCTGATCAAATCATTCAGCTCTTGTTCTTCTCCTACTTTGCAGCTGGCCTTTCATTTTGGGAGATTTAGCATTTTAGCCAGTAAGAGTCCCCATTGTCCTACAAACGTGACTACCAAGCCCCTGGGGTGAAGAGTGTAATCAGATGGACAGACTGGAACCCACAAGAAGGAACCAGACACTTCTACTCCCTGCTTCACTCAGGAGGACCGGGTGTAAGTAGTCGGGCCAAGCAATGGCTTATAAATGGAAAGAGCATCAGACCTGGAATCAGAAACTTTCAGAGGACACTGAGAAGTCGTGTGACCTTGGGCAAGTGATGAAAAATCTGATTCTCAGCTTCCCCATGTGCGATGGGAACCATGTAATTCCCAGGATCTCGTGGGGAAATGGTGATAAAACCCATTTGGAAGGGACAGCCCTCCTCTGAGGCACCATATAAATGCAACGTGAGAGACCAGGTAACAGAGGCAGGCAGCCAGACATGGAGGCCCCGAGCGCTTGGCTTTAAGTTTGGATCTGTCACAGGAAGAGTTGCTGCATGATTTCCAGTGGGAGGATGCTCTGGTCAACATGTGCATCTGAAGGATCAACATTTGGGAGATGAGGAATAGCACTTCAGGAGGCCGAAAGGAGCAGTCAGTGAGAGAGAAAAACAATCAGGAGAGAATGTGATGCCCAGTTGCCAAAGGAAGGAAATGTCTCAGAAAGGACACGGGGACTTATGGCGTCACACACTGCGGTAGGCCCAGTAAGGTGTGGCCATAGGACTTACTGCTGGATTTGGTAACATAGAGGCTGTCACTGAGGACCTTGACAAGAGCTGTTCCACTGGAATGTGGAGGTGAAACTTTGGTTTCACTGGAATGAAAACAAAAAAAGAGGAGAGGAATTGGAGTCATGGAATATGGACTAATTTTAGAAGTTTTATTATGAAGTGACAGAGAAATGGGGCAATAGCTGGAGGGGGAAACAGGGTAAAGATAGTGTCTTTTGAAGTAAGGAAATATGTTAGTGTGTTTATAAGCTGGTTAGAATGAAAAAAAAAGAAAACTTATGATGCAGTAAAGATGGGACAGTTGTGGGGAAAATGTCCTTGAGAAGGAGGGAGGAAGAAAGAACCCAGATGAAAATGGAAGGGTTGGCCTTAGCTCTGCTCCCTCACCTTGCCAGGGAACACTGATTCCGTTTAAGTACCATTTCCTTTATGAGTTTTCCATGATGCTTCTGTTCCCAAGTAGAACCAACCCATCCCCTGTGGACTTCAAGCTACTCAGAGCAAACTTTCACCTTCACTTGCTCACTCGCTCCCACACTCTCGCTCCCATCTCCTCTTCCTTCCTCTCATTCATTCATATGACAAATATTTAGAGGCAATGGAGTCACTGGCTCTACTCCTTCTGAGCTGCATGATTTGGGGTATGTTATTTAACTGTTCTGTGACCTCAATTTCCACATCTTTAAAATTGGAATTATACTAGTATTTGCTTTACAAAATTACTGTGAAGATTATGCTGAGTACAAAGTGCTGGAATGTCTGATACCTAGTTATGGCTCAATATATGTGAACTGTAACTGGCCTGGCACTCGGGATACAATGATGACTAGGACATAGTTATAGCCTAGCACTCATTACAGAGAAGAGTAAGTGTTCATTTAAACATCTTTCTTCTCTCCTAGACCATAACAATCTAGTGTAGCACACACGGCACAGACAACATAAGCACCCAACAGAATACTGGACTGAATTCAGCTGGCTACCTTGACTTGGAAGGTTAGTGACAGGAAGTGTGGGGGAGAGGTGGTGATGGCTGGAGAAATGAGGGAAGGGATATCAAGAGTTATTCCTGAGGACTCTACAGATCAGTGATGGACATCTTGTAACTAATTTCTAGAACTGTCTCAGAGAGGACTGATCTCAGATCAGCCCCCTGCCAGGCTCCCTCCTTCATTCCATGTGCTAAGTTAGTGATACAAACAAAGTTCAAATCACTCATTATGAGAAAAGAAGACCATGTATGTAACACCTAGTACACTGCCTGACAAATAGTACAACACCTTAATCAAAGTGATATTACCATGCTGGGAGAAGCCACAACAATGTGTAGATAAGACCCCTTGGCTTGGCACAGAGTTCACTTCTTCAGTATCATCCTGTATTCTTCCTGATTAAGATGTATCTCTCCGATTACCAGAGAGTTGTTTCTGGAACAATGGCAAGATTTGGGAAATGGCAGAAGTAGTTTTGCTTAGCTGTAGTAATCCCATTCTATCATTAAATATTCTCACTTTAATGTTTTTCTGAAACAGCC